TAATCCAGTTAATAAAATCTATCGAAAGTGTCCTCATTTACAGCACCAGAAATTTTTTCTTCCTATTGATCATATACTCATATGATTGAATCTTAAATAGACAAATAACTTACAAAATGCACAGTTAGTAAACTTCCTTACTGATCCAATATAAGAAAGCATACATCCAAATAGTAAAATCACATTCTTTTGCAAATCTGCCAACTACTACTTTGGGTACCAAAACATGCCTTTGATGCCTTCTGGATCAGCCTCAAACCCCAGGTTCTGATAGAAATCCACAACTGCATAACAAATTCAGAAACTAAAGGAAGAACAAATCTAAAACACTTGATTACAAAAGCTTGCAGTATATGGTGATGTTGATATTGTTAATACCTTGACTATCCGCAAAAAGAGATATATTACCAATATCTTTCTGAAGAAGAGCCCTTACGAGCTTTTCCACGAGAGCTTTACCAAGCCCTTGACCCTGAAAACCAAAAAGAAACACTTACCAACATCAACACACAGAGAAGTTTCATTACACAAAAAAAACTAGTTCTCTGTTCTGGTTACCTGATACTCAGGATCAACAAGAACATCCCAAATAGTAGCATTGAAGGCATGATCTGACGTCGCACGTGCCATTCCAATAAGCTTCTTATTCTGCTGCTGCTGCTGCTCAGTATCTCCTTCTGTGTCAAATAACTTGTCCAAAATCCGCTAAGATATTCATCAAAAACATGTGATGAATGAAGAAATAAGGTAACTTGATTGAAGAAGCACCTGATGATGATGATGGCTTCAATACAGAATGCAATGTAGCAACCATATAACTATTCTTCAAAGCTGCAGCTAATTTCGTTAGCGGTCTCCGAGGCCATCCCACCTATTCCTTAAATATCCAAAAATGAGAACGTCTTGTAGTAACATCAAAAAGAAAGAGAAGCTTTTTAAGTAACCTTGTCACAAAGGGTTTGAAGATCATAGACATCAATTTCACCACCAGAAGAAAATATGATCTCTTCCACTAAGCCATCTTGAAGGGTTCTCTCAACCAAAGTAAATTCAACAGGAAGTACTGGTTCCGTATCTTCATCTTCTTCGATTGTAGAAGGTGGTTCCACAAGTTGGGTAGTATTATTATTCTTTACAAACCTGAATCAAGCAATCAAAGCATTCAATTGGGTGTGTTGTTGTACCAGCCTAAGTTTCCATATGAGCAAGAAATGTTTGAATCTCTTGAAGTACCCAGATCGGATTGACTCCCAGAAATTAGCTCTGAGACGCAAAGTCTTCAACTTTCTGCTTCCTGAAGTAGCCACATAAACAAATTGAAGCATAAGAGTTAGACTTAGATCCTATTGAGTGCAATTGAAGCAACAGTACCATGGGGAATTGGATAAGCGGATTTGGAGAGGAAGAGAGACTGATTCGATGAATATGAATTAGAATTGAAGGAAGCTTGAGGAAGGCTACAACAAGAGTATGAAGAACACGAAGAAGAAGTTGGGATTAGAATCATTTTTTTTTTGGTTTTGTGGTTGAAAGTAGAATTCAGACAAGACTGGGAGATAGTTTGGTAACGCTTTAGCTTTACGCCTTCCGTTGCAGCTTCGGGCTCTCGTCATCCTCTTTTGTTATTTACGCTTTTGCCCTCTCAATTTTTTTTTTTATGTTTTTTTTTTTTTTTGTCAACTTTGTATTATATGGGCACATAGGCCAGAATTTGGTACAAATGGAAACAAGTAAACCCATTACATGTTTAGAGCCCTTTTTAAAACCCAGCATCTTACTAAATAAAACTGACTTTTCTCCCTTCTCATGCTGCCACATCAGCAAAGAGCATGGAAAAAAAAAAAGACACATCAGCAATTATTCATTGAAATTGACCCGGAAAAATTAAATCTTTGCGTCTTGGTTTGTAGTAAGTTTATTATACCAGTTTAATGTTAGATGTTGGGCTAGAGATTAGTTATAGGCCCACATTTCTCTAGAATCGTCCACGTTAGCAAGAGAGAGGTGGACGTTTTTTGTGACACATTCATATTAGTTCCATAAAATGGGTAAAATATTCAAATTTAATGAATTATCTTTTCTTTACACTAACAAAATAAGATATTTTCATTTTTTTTTTGTAATTCCTTCATATTTAATATGTTATATTAACTTCACATTTTTTATAACAACAATAAGTATTTCTTGCCCGGTGAAATTACGAATTTTTTTTTCCGGTAAAATTATATATTTTTTTTCTTTGAGAATCTGCTAAAACTTTTTTTATTTTTATAAGAATTTTTTAAGAAAAAGTATAAAACAAACCATACATATATTATTTTTTATTTTCTTAACTTTAGAGTTAGTTAAAAAAAATAAAACTACTCAAAATTCGATAAATTTATAGATAAATGAGTAATAGCTATAATTTAAGATATTTTTAGTTAAACGTATGAAAATTTCTGTTTAGAAATCATCTTTTACACCAGCATTTCAAGTTACATGTCAAATAGTGAGACCCAAAACGATGTACAATCGTCTGTGAACATTTACTTCGCTTAATGACCATTAGGATTTTATGGTTTCATATGTTTTTGCGCAGGTGGGATCTCAAGGTCAAGATTATCATTATAGTTATGTTTCGTTTATGCTTTTAGTTCTTTAATCTGAAAATTGTTGTGTCACTCCATCGTCCATTAGCGTGTTTTAATGTTGATATACAACATTAATCTCACTTTAGGAATATTATATAGTAACTAAGTTTGGAAAGTAACTTATAATCGGTTATGATTACACTTCGTCTTCATGTTTTCTCCAATATAACTTATTACTTACAGATATTAATTCAATTTGAGTTCATATGATCTGAAAAAGGTACTAAACAAAATTGGTGTAACCTTTAGATATGAGTGTACATATTTGTAAATATTTCAACAATAATTCACAAAACACAATTAATAAAATATTGAAATTTGAATAAATTTCATTATAGATTGGGAATCTAATATAAACTGAAGAACATATATTATAAACCATAATTTATTGTTAAATAAAATATATTAATTATTATCTATGACATTACTGAAACTATTTATATAGTACTTTAAAATATACATTTTTTACAGTTTTATCACATTACATTATATTTCAATTAATTTAGCTTGAAGAAGGAGTAATTAATTATCAGGAGAAAATTATTAATATAATAATATTAAATTTGGAAACTCTTCGAAAAAAATTATTTTACTTTTGAATTTTCTTCAACTATATCAAATTAAAATAAAAAACCAAAAGAAGAAATATAAATTATTACATTTTCCTTAATTTTTTTTATTTAATAATTTTGTGTTCACTAAAAATCTTTCTTTCAGAAAAATTTAATACACTTTACAATATCATCTTTGAAAAAAAAATATTTATTATCTTATTATAAATTAAATTTTGAAATATTTTATAAAACTAAAATATATTTTAACATAAAATAAATTTAGTGTAAATACACCCGCCCGTAAGGCGGGCCAACCACTAGTTAAAAGATAAAGATGAAACATAACACGCCATTTTTATGTTTTTCTTGCTACTTTCAAGAAAATATTTAATTTTATCACAAGACTTTTTTCTTCTCATCAATTTTATCACAAGACTAAAAGTTCAATACATAATTTTTAAAAACTAAAATATTAAGTTTCACATTTGAGAAAGGTAAAAATTGAAAATGAGAATTTGAGAAAATTGGCTTTTTGTCTCAATTAAAATAATAAATTTTACATATTTTGTTTTCTTTACATATACACAACAGAATGAAAATATTATGATGCAAGCTTTTGTTTCACATACAAACCAAACAGCTCCCATATTGAAGTAACTCGCCAGCTTCTAGGGCCACCACCAATTGTATGTCGCCACATCATCACTTCTTAGCCGACGACAGCCAGCAAACTCTGTCGGACGGCAGGGACAGAACAGAGTAACGATCCAAAAATTCCAGTGAGAGCATAAGCAATTGCACAGAAAGGAAGTGCCTCTGGCTCCTTAGCCGACAAAGCTGCTGTTCCAAGTCCATGAGCACTGTCCATACAAAATAATGTATAACCTACTTTTCCACCATTTTTGATTCAAAATGTGAACAGATCATATCTGAAAGAGTAACCTTGAAGCAGTTGCGATTCCACGAGCAATAGGATCATTCAAGCGCAGTTTATCAAGAACAACTTGTACAAAGTTAGCTCCTATCAGACCAGTCACAACCACTACAGCTGCTGTAAGAGACGAGTTGGTCCCTGAAAAACGTCCAAGAAAGTCGTTAAAAATGCTCTTTAGTGTCTTCTGCTGAGGAGAAGAATACCATTCATACCTTCAAAAAGTGATACAATGCTCAGTGCTAACGCAACAGTGATACAGCGAGGTAGGATTGAAACCGTTAAAGATGGCTCTAAACCAACTAAACGTCCAACAAGAGCAGTGGAGTAGAGAGAGAATACTGTTGAAACGATCACAGACGTAAAAATCTCAGCTGCATGCCGCTTCACAAGCTGAGGCAGACCAAAGAGATTGTTAAACAGTTTTTCTAAAGAAAAACAAGAACAAGTTTGTTGTTTTTGTTGTTACCTTTCTCTGTTTGAACATGGAGAAAGCGAAAGAGAGAATGACAGAGCCAAGAAAACCCATTAATATGTCACCAGCACCAGGATCTGATGCTACTTTAGTAAGGTAGTTTCCTGTCGTAGTGAACCAAAAGACTTTCACTTTCTGTATAAAAGTCTTTAAAGGTGTTGTTTCTCTCTAGTTTGTGTGAAAGTTTACCTAAAACAGGATCAAGTCCAGATCCGGAAGCATACCCAAAAGCTAGAGCGGCTAGTAGTGCAGATAAAGCGCAGCAGATGATCGGATGGAATACTTTCTTGATAGAAGATGGCAACCTAGACAAGACAATAGCACCAAATGCTAGAGACCTGAAACTTGAGGAGCAAGGAGTAAAGGGTTTGAATCTTACCCAGTACCGACAATGTAACCTAGAACAGTAGAAGACAGAAGAAAAGGGAGACAAGTTCTTGCACTTGTCCCCAATGAAGTAGGGTAAAACAGAGCACCAACAAACGACGCAACAAAGATTCCACTCCAACTCCACAGCTCAAATGTTGAGAATGGAGAAGGTTTTGCCATAGGCTCAGCTTCCGTCATCTCAGTATTCACCATTTTTCTCACTGCTATAGCTGTGAAACCTGCTACACAAAGAGACGCCAACCATCCACCAGCTGTACAAGCATTTGAATCAAAACATTAAACATAGCCAACATTACTATTAAAGGTACCATAAGAACAAGTGAATGATCATTTATATATTACCTACAATGTAGCAGATTTTGAGGCCTGAAGCAGCCGGAATATCTCTAACGGAAAGAGGGAGGACCACAAGAGAAGGAACGTAGAACAAAGGAAGCCATCTCTGGATAAACAGAAACGCTGGCTCGAAGAAGTTCATCATACCTGTTGCAGCAGCTGGGACAACGGAATCTAATATCATAAGAACAGAGAATATACAAAACATCCCAAACAAAGCGCTTGGGAACTTTATGGAGGCTGCTACAAAAGCCTGTTTCAAGAACTGGTCGGCCGCTAGTATGATCCCAAGCGACACCAACAAGTGCGCTATCGCCAACACCTGGTGTGATAAAACAACGAGGTTAAAACCTAACGTGGTAAACAAACATCATAAAAATATTTAACCTTTAAGCTTACGTTACTAGAGATCGTTGATGTGTTTCCTGTCCCTGCGCCATCCATGGCCTGTACTGAGAGTTTTCTCCCAGAAGTCATCTCTCGGGAACCCATTTGCATAAACTTACTCCTTAGTTTACTACATTTCGATAGATTTAGCTTCGGGAGTCCTTTGGATTCGAAAGTCTTCCCACTGTTCGACTGGAATCGGATCTTGGGATATGAATGGCGGTTTCTTGCGGAAGAAAGAGCGAAAGGAGAGAAGAGAGGAGCAGCTAAAGGAGTAGCCATGGAAGTGGAGATGACTTGGCTGTGATTCTGCGAGACCACACATCATAGTCTTCTCCATCTTAATTTTAATGATGGGAACTGGATGACAAGAACTTGTATGGACGAGACACAATGTTCTATAGATAGAAGATGAGCTACTTTTGTCTCTCTTTTTCCCTGGGTTAGCTTTTTCGGTTAAGAAATATCTTTTCTCTTGATATTCGTTTTTTTTCTCTTCTATTAAAGCATTTGCAAACAAACCAAGTTTTGCGACAGTAAAATAACACTAATACCAACCAACCACCTAGCACCAATTAAATTTAGACCATTAATTAAATTTTAAAAGACTACACTTATAAAAGTAACACTCATATAAGATCAATTGTTGTAGTGGTATCCACCATGCTCCTCATACCGATGAGTCTCGTAATGGTACTCATACTGAGACGATGACTGCTCATAAGCTGAAGCGTAATGCGAAGAAGGGGAAGATGGATTGTAGACTTCATGTTGCTGGTAATGAGAAGGAGTACCTAGCTCGGTCACAGGACTTGAAGAATGTGTTTCATGTTTGTCCACTCTTACCTCCGCTGCCTCCTTTTGGTGCCTCTCATCTTCTTCATCTAATT